ACCCCAGCATATGGGAGACCAGAATGTGCCCTCACAAGCTATGGGAGGTGAAGATGAAGAAGTTGAAGATATCCGACATGTAGAGACAGAACAAGTGGGATACCAGACTGTACCCGAATCAGAATATAGAGGTTCGGTTGACTCACGACATGTTCGTGGGAATCTTGACGAAGAGGTAGCTGATCCTATTTATGATGGTCCCCATTATGACCCCAGATGTGATCATTCTAACCTAAATCTCATGGTGGGAATGAGCTTCAATTCCCCGAAGAAATTCAAAGAGGTAGTGGAGGAACACTCCATCGCCATTGGAGCCGATATCAAGTGGACGAGAAGTGACAAGAACAAGAAGCGAGCTGAATGTCGCCAGAAGTGTGGGTGGTATATCTATGGTAGTTGGCATGCTCGTTCTTTGTTTATGGTGAAGAATCTTGGGAAGGATCACACTTGTCCTAGGGCTGTCAGGATGCGGGTTGCAAATGCAACTTGGGTGGCTAAGAAGTACCTTGAACGTTTTCGAAGGGAGCTTGACTGGAAGGTAAAGAATATGATGTTGGAACTGAGGCAAACCCATAACGTGGTCATTTCGAGGAGGCAATGCTATAGGGCAAGGACATATGCCAAGCGGATGTTAGGAGGTTCGTTGATATAGGAGTATAACAAGATTAGGAGGTATGTTGGCTCTTTGAAAGAGCGGGATAGAGACGATTCTTTTATTCTGGAGGTTGACCCGTCTAATGTGCCCAATCAAGTATTATTAAACAGGATGTACATTGGTTTTAGTGGACTACGAAAGGGTTTCACTAGGGGATGTCGACCAATGTTTGCTTTGGATGGGTGCTTTCTTAAAGGTGAAGTTAAAGGGATGCTTTTGAGTGCTGTTGGTAAAGATGGGGACAATAGGATGTTCCCTATTGCTTGGGCTGTAGTGGAAGGGGAAAGTAGTGAAACATGAAAGTGATTTGTTTATATTTTATAGCTAGATCTTAGGACCATTGATTTTCATGGGTGGACTGTCATATCTGACCAACACAAGGTAAATGTTAGACTTGTGTTTGTATGAATGCGACTTGTGTTTGTATGAATGTTGACTGCAATCTGGTTTTCTTTGTAGGAACTTGTGCAAGCACTACAAAGTTGCTTACCTGAGGCATCTCTAAGAAAGTGTGCACGCCATGTATTCGCAAACTAGAAGGTCAACCATAGGGTCAAGGCACATAGAGATTTGTACTGGGAGGCAGTGTATGCAACAAACGTGCATGACTACAAAGTAGTGATCAAGTCATGGGGGAGATTCAACAAAGTGGGGTAGATCCTTCTCTACTTCAAGACTTTCTGGATCATCAACCAGAAACCTTTTGCAGGGATTTTATGAGTCACACTTCCAGATGTGATTCGGTGGAAAGTAATATCTGCGAGACCTTTAATGGTTACATCTTGGAGGAGAGGGAGGACAGGATCATTGAAATGCTCAAGGGCATCCGTAGGAAGCTCATGGTGAGAATTGTTTATAAGAATGTGAAAGCTGGTGGTTGGACTGATCGCCTCTATCCTATGATAGCGAAGAGGATTAGAAAAGTTGTGGAGTTGGCCAAGATGTGTCAAGTGAGTCCAGGATTGGACATGAAGTTTGAAGTGGCTATTGATCGTAAGGGGTACGTGTTAGACTTGGACGAAGAGACATGAAGTTGTGGTTCGTGGGGATTGACTGGAATTCCATGTATACATGCCATTGCTTGCCTACAATGGCAGAGGATGGAGCCATCTGATATCGTGTCTCCTTATTACACTGTTGGGTCATACAAGATGGCATACGAATTTGATATTCCTACCATTGAAGGCCAGCAAGCTTGGCCAAAATTAGTAGGCTATCCTGTTTATCCTCCTAAATTCAAGGTCTTACCTGGACGTCCAAAGAAGCAACGGAGGAAAACACCAGGGGAGATAGAGACGGTTCGACATGACAATGATGGTTCTGCTATGAGGAAGAAAAGGTGTATAATGAATTGTAAGAAGTGCAATTCTCCTGACCACAATGTGCGGACTTGTCTGGTTCTTCGGGCAGAACGGGTAAGTTTAGTATTGTATGATCCTCGAGTATAATATATGTGCAGATTGCTTACACTTTTTAATTAATTTTTTTGGATGAATGTGCAGAATTTGGAAGGATGAGAAGGGAGCATGAACGTTGAAGGTCCAAGGGTTGCTACTGGTGGAGGGAGGTCTGTTCAAAGGAGGCATAATAGGGATAGAGGGGTTGCTGCAAATGAGGAAGGTCAACCCTCAGTTGTGAAAAGAAGCAAAGGGTTATGTTCCAAATGTAGGAAAGCTGACCACAATGACATAACCTGCCCTCTAGTTGGTGGAATTTAGGTAAGAGGTTCATCGCAAATTAGCTTGGATGTTAGAGAACACATAAATGAACTTGTAGGAAGCACATATCAATCGTGCTGTCACTAGTAGACATGCTCAAGACAAAGAAGTTAGGATGGTAAGTTTTCAATCTTCGGTGAACTCGAAAACTTACCAATGTTTGTTGTATAATAACTCATTTCAATTATTTGCAGGCCAACCAAGGAATTGGTGTGTTGCACACTGATTTAGGAAACACTTATGTGATACTAAATGGTCCAGATAGACCGGGAAGGGTGTTGAGAAATTGCAGGCCTTACGGCAACCTTGGAACCGGGTCAACGCCTACGGTGATTGCTGAAGGAGGATCGCAGCCACCAGTGACACAGCCGACCCATCAACAGTAGGAGGGTGGTTGTGATCATGTAGTATTATCATATGTAGGTTTAATTTAGTAGACAATGTTTATTTTTTGCAAATATGGCTGCCTTATATCCTGAGGAAATCATGTCAGATTTCCAAACATTGGATTCATTTTGGCAAACTAGACAATGGCACCCTTTGTTTCTAACCAACACAATTATGTATGTGAATGGTAGAGATTTGGTATTAATCATATATGTCGAACAATTTCAGGATGTTTGAATGGTATGTTTGTAAGCTGAAGCTATCGTTGTTTACTTACTGACAGAATCTTACCATAAAGCCAGCTTCGTATTAATAATGTTTGTAAGCTGAAGCTATCGTTGTTTGGCATGCTCAATAACATACAGGCAACATGATTGTTTGACAACATTGTACATATATAATCTCGAGACATAAGTTACAAAAGTGATGTGCATTTGCAGACTTCATTTCAGTCATGCAATGGCAATTCCTAACAAGCAGTCCTACGAAAAGGAACAAAACAAACAAGAAACGAGCATTGGCCAACTTCAGTTCCCCTACCAGCCGAGTGTTTTCCTCCCTAATGCTAACTAAATCATCAAACAAACATTTTTTTAGCCTGCTTCCTTCGCTCAGCTTTCTCTTTAGCAAGTTTCAAGCTCTCCTTCAAGCTCGAAACATGAATCTCCATCGAAGCATACTTCATCCTAATGTCTTCGTCCTCTGCCACAATCACATTGGAGCTAGGTGTTTCCTCCTCATCATCATTATGCGCATCGACCCAACGCCAGAATAGACAATTTTTTTTAGGCTCTTGACAAAGAACTCAAGATGAAGTGAGCTGTTCTTTGCGAATAAAATCCCCCCAACTGAACAAATTATGCTTAAATTACCTTCCAATATGGGAAATAGAAGAATCCCCTCCCCGGATTGAATTCTGTCACTGAAACATAAGACTTTGCTGGTATATTGTGGCCACATTTCACGATTCGAGAGTTGGAAGAATTGGAGTCACAATTGCTTTGGCCGAATCTCCTTCCCGACTTGTTTGAATTGCTGCCACGAAACCCATTCATTATGGAGAATGAGAACCAAGTAGATCAAACCCTAAAACAGACACAACCTATATAAATCTTGGAATAGAGGACTCACCTGATCTGCTCGATAATATATTCTTCGAACCAGGCCGTCACACCACTATCCTCGCCGCAGTAAATACCAAAGTCACCACGAATCGGCGCCGCTCCGCGTTAATGAAACCCAATGCCGTCACCATTCCAACGCGTCGGAGCTATCACCGTCTCTCCTCTGCCCTTTCCTCGCGCCGACCCAGCTCTCGCAAAGAAGTTTAAAAAATAGGGGACGAGCTACAAAGAAGAGGCAAAGGGTTAAAAAGTAGGGTTTTTTATTTTAAATCTGAATGCTAAAAAAATTTACAAATCTGACGTGTCTGCCTACGTGGCATCGATGTGACCACTACGAGTGTGCCACGCAAGCTTCGGAAAATGACCTAACGGTCGTCTGTTTGGTCAACCGTCACTTTTAACAGTCATCGAAACCCTCATGATACAAATGACACAAAACTACCAAACGTTGGGACACAATTGTCATATCGAATACTTTAGGACACAAATAACACAAAGTTAATTGTTCGGGTTTCCTAATGGTATTAGCCTTAGATAAATATATGAGTGAAGTATTGTTATTAAATAAAATAATTTCTTACATTTTAGCTGTATAATCATAATTCAAGAGATAGTATATGAGTGAAGTATCATTAGATGAATAATATATTGGGTTATAGGTATAATATGCCTCTCTACTATGATGTTTTGTCAAATATACCCCTCTACTATTTTTTACATCAAACATGCTCCTGTACTTTGGAAAAATTATTAAACATGCCCTTCTGTTGAAATTTCCATTGTAAAATCGTCAATTATGGTTGAACCGAGATTTGAAAGACCAGACCTCGACAAATGGGAGGGAAAATGTAAGTTTTGACCCCTGTTTTATTTCTCTGGGTCTCGTCAAAGTGAAATTATTAGAATTATTTGGCTATACAAAAGAACCAAAAATATTGTAAAGTGAAATTATTATGTATATTTTAGACATTTATGTCGCCTAAACCAAAATTTGGTCGTGGTTAACGATTTTCGGATGAAAATTTCAACCGAAGAACATGTTTGATAATTTTTCTAAAGTACAAGGTCATGTTTAATGTAAAAAATAGTAGATGACATGTTTGATAAAACATAATAATAGAGAGACATATTATACCTATAACCCTATATATATTCAACAAATATTACACCAGTATAACATCATAAAAAAAAACCCGCCGTATCACCTCACTTCTCTACTCCTGTGTACTTTTTTCCTCTAGCTAGGGAACCAAAGGGATCACTCTTCTTGCATTATTGCATACAATTTCTTTCTCCTTTGTAATCTCCGGCGGGTCATCTTGACCTGTTTACATCGATACAAATTACTTACCGGCGGCATCCCTTATCCTGCCGTTATGTTCAGAACTTCAGTATACAGTTACTTGTGGAACCGAGTAACTAACTAAGGTCTACCGTAGTGCCGTTGGGAGTCCGATTGACAACGTGGTCTCCACCGTCGAACTTTCATTGCTGACCAGTCCCACGCTACTTCCTGCCGGCGCCGGTGCCACCACCGCCTCGTTTCCTGTCCCAGCTCGTTTCGACGATTCCCGTGGATTCTCACAACGCTAGAAAAAATTTAAACAACAAAAAGTTAATGGGGGGAACTATGAACTGAGGTCACAAAATCGAAAACCCCACCAATTTCTTTCAACTACGTACTGACCTTTTCACATAAAGTTGCCTTCTGTTGTAGCAACTCCCTTTCCTGCAAACAAAATTCCATATCACAAAATGTACCAACAATCAATCATTTCGTCATGTTGGTCATTTCGAAACGAGACGCTATAGAAGTGGTCGATATTAAATGATATGAACATAACGCTTGTTTATTTTTGTTATCTGCAAATAGACTTTTCAGGTATAAAAATCACTATAATTATTGTTGATTCATAAAAGTGGGTTAAAAGTGGGATTTGACACATTTTCACTGCATCTGCGACAGATTTGTTCCATTTATACACGGCAACTGCGTTTTGGTGACTTAGAAGCGTACACAAAAGCATAATTTTTTAAGGGTTAATATCTTAGTTTGGCTCGAACTATACACATATTTTCTACTTTGACCAGTGGTATTGGAAATTGTTATTTTGGCCTGAACTATGTAGCAAACTTGTTAACCGTTAGTCAATGTCCACCTCACCTGCCACGTCAGCTTTGAGGACATAAAAATATTTATTTTTGTTTCTGAATTTTGTTTTCTTGTCATTTGCTAGGCCCTTTTTAGTTATTTTAATTAATTTTTTTGTTTTTTTATTTTTATTAATTGAAAGAAAACAAAATTCAGAAATAAAAAATAATAAATTTTATGTCCTCAAAGTTGACGTGGCAGGTGAGGTGGACATTGACTAACGGTCAACAGGTTTGACCGTCTGATTTGACGGTCAAACCCGCCTCTGGGCCAAATGAGGAAGATTGCTACATAGTTCAGGTCAGAATAGCAATTTTCAATACCACGGGCAAAAGTAGAAAGTATGTGTATAGTTCAGGTCAAACTAAGGTATTAACCCTTTTTTTAACTTTAAAACATGATTTTGTGTATACAACAAAAATCTTCATATATCAAATTGAGAAAAATCGATGGCTAAACACCCTACCCTAAAATCAACCCTATCAAACAAAGTGTGCTTGCTAACATGCATTGACCTACTAATACTATCACTGCATGGATGATCAGATAGAGTCCAGCATTTTACCTGTAACCTTAGTTGCTTCATCTGCTCCATGAACATCTCATCCTGAACATATTTAACCCAACATGGGCAAAGATTACTAACTGATTCGAACTTAATTATTCATCAAAGAAAAGATTACTGGAACATAAAACCCAATTACACAAAATATATAGCTAGAGGAATGCGAAAAACACTGTCATGATCGAGTTCTAGTGTATATTATTAATGGTGGATGCATATATACTTTTCTGCGTCGGATGTTTGTTAAGCTTCTTTCCAACTGCTCGCCTATGTTTCGGATCTCTTCCAGAGAGCACGACCCCAACTGTTCTCCCAATAGCTTCCTGTTTATATATATAGTGACACCCATAATCACAAAAGCTGACCAAGTTAGCTTATCCATGTTTGTCCCAATTCTACAAGTTAGTTTCGGTTAAGAAAGAAAGAAACCTTCTGGAGGCTTCCAGCTGCTCAATGTTCTTGGCCATAGAAGCGGATTCTTGCTTGAGTTGCTGCAATTGGAATAATCAAGCACACTATGAGGATATATAGAACAAGAAGAAGAAGAAGCAAAAGATATCACTCTTAAAAATGCAATATATATTTGCAAAACAGAATAGCAATCGTTCACTGATCACCTGAATGCAGTAATCTGCACCTCTCTTGTCGACTTCCAGCCCTGCTGCATACTTTTGGTACCGAGCTATCGTCTTCTGCATTCTGAAGTAAGCATTTCTGAGGTAGTTAAGCATACATTTCTGATATACGTATGCATTTTAGACTGTTATGATGAAAGAAGCCCAAGTAAAATAGTCGACTTAAGTCCCATTCCATGCAGGTCAAATAATATATATATATATAGCAAATTAGTGCAATCTCTAGCAATACCAACTCTTATCTCTTTATCATTTTGTTGTCCAGATTCTGCCATCCCTAGACCCAAACCTGCCGAAATTCATGGAATTTGACCATGCAACGCTCCAATATGCAACAACCTCTTAACCACAGATGTATTGTGAGGAAGATTACAGCTTAATTAAAGTGCAGCCTTATAAAACTTGTAGAAATCAATTAGGGCTGGAAAACAATCATATCTAGCTAACACCGGACTGAATTGTACCGAATCGAAATTTGGACAGAATCCATTTCATTCCGACAAAAATTATTTGAAGTATGAAAGAAAGTGGACAGAAATTGAATTTTGACAGACTGAGTTGTCAAATGAACCAAACATGTTTTTTATTCGATTAAGGCCAATTTTTCTTTGATTTTTGTCCAACTTAATCTCGATGTGATATGGTTCTAGAACAAAGATGCCCATCCTTACAACCAACCAACTAAAACATATTGTAAGCCCTAATGATGACTTTTCAGTGGAAGACAAGTATATTCATTAAACTTTGCTATCTATACTAGGTTCATGATAAAAATAACAATAGTAATTCATAATAATAATAATTATTATTATTATTGTAAGGAATGTTTTTTTTTATTAGTATTGCTTTCTTAGGATGGTTTCGTATATAAACATTATGTACATCGGTGGCATATGTGATGAACTATTTTAAAGAGTTTTAAATATTTATTTGAAGTAACATATTGGAAACGGTAAAAAGAAATTGATCAAACAACATTTTGGACGTTTGCAGTTTATAGTAAATCTATCTTCTGTGGCAGTATATATGGCTTATCTAAGAGATAAATGCATGGTTAAAATCTATTCATGCCAAAGGTCATAAAAGCAATTTGAAACATCCCATATCGTGTTTGGTTGAAACAAAAGCTAAAAAGTGTTAACTCAAAGCTATAATAAAAAAAATGATAGAAAGACATTTGTACGAAGCTACGAACAAGAGTTTAGTCTAGTGATAATATTATTAGTGTTGAATTTAGAGATCTTCATATTAGAAATCTTTAAGTAATATAGAAAAAAACAAAAAAAAAAAACATATATCACCTTTATAAAAAAAAATAATTAAAGTGTTTGACTTATCTCAGTAAAATCAACTCTGTAAATAAGCAAGAAACGTTTTCCCTCTTTAAATTGCAGATGGATTGACTGAATTAAAATCTTCTTGCAACCAAGTTTTTTTTTTTTTTTGGTAGAACAAGCAAGATTTATTCAGTGGGTTTGCTCTCATTAGTGGGGCCAAAATACCATATATGCATTGCCAAATTACTATTGCAATAACTTTACAGGCTCCATTTACATGGAGTAATTAATGGCGAGTCAGGAGGCCAGGGTCCTTTTTTTTTTTAGTTTGGTAAAAATAACCTGCCCATACAACCGGATCAGTGAGAACAAATCTTTTTTTTTTTAAAAAAAAATCACTGTCTCTATTTATTTATTTGGTATAAAATAGAAATAAACAGCCATCTATCGAAGAAGGATGGAGAGACGACTGTACTGTATTAATCTAGTCAAAGGACACCATAGCTTCCTCACGATTGTTAGTACTTAATCACGATTCACGAATTAGCAAAGACCAGATTCTAGTAAGTAGTAACTTACTCGTGGTTGGAGAACTCGGTGAGCCTTCCTCGCTGGGAGAAGACGATGACCGCAACCTCGGCGTCGCACAGTACGGACAGCTCGTGGGCTTTCTTCAACAGCCCATTCCTCCGCTTCGAGAAGGTCACCTGCCTGCTCGCCGCGTTCTCTATCTTCCTCAGCTCCACTTTCCCCCTCCCCATCGATCGATCGAATCTCTGCCCACAAAATCAATCAGCTCAATAATTAAACTCCAAGTCAAAGCGAGAAGAAGAAGAAGACGAAACCCTAGGAGATAAGCGGCAGAGATGTTCACTGAAGTGTTGCAACAACAGCTAGCTCCCACAATTACTCACCTGGCTCACTGAAATAAAAAGGCGGATAGATCGGTCGAGTTCCGCCGCAGCAACCGGCCTACGGTGGGGGAGAGGCGCCGTCAGAGTGGAGAGATCATCCGACGGAAAGGATGTGTAAGGGAGAGAAAACCCTAAAGAGAGATGGGCAATAAATGAAGAGGAAGAAGAAGGAGAAGAAATTGGGGGGTTTTTTTCTCTCTGCTTCTAGTTCAACGCCGACCAGACGTAAGGAATATTTTTCTAACGAAAGGGGGGAAAATGCGCCAGTCGGCACCCAGCCAAGATCTCAACGGAAGAGAAGTGGGACGATAGGATTGAGGGAAAGGGAACCCCTGCTAATTTCTTGCTCAATTTTGGTAAAGAAATTTAAGAATGGCTTTAATCATCTAAGTAAACAAATTAAATTGATTCCCAAAAATAAAAAAATAATAATAATATTGTTATTGTTAAACAAACAACATAAGCAAGGTAGTGGTTGAGAGGCAGGGAAAGAGAAGGGTTGGGACTTGGCAGTATTGTTGTTAATTGATTCGGTTATAACCTATGATTGTTTATTCAATTATCGTTATTTGTTAAACAATTTTTTATTGTCATTAAGTGTATAGTGTATATTAGACGATTAAATGTAACTTTATTGTCGGCTAATTGAATAAATGTTTAGCATGTGATTAGGCAAAGTTAGATCAAAATTATCAATCAGTAGCTGAACCAACAGAAGGCCTCCTTGTTTTTTTTTCAATTGTGCATTTTTAAAACCTTTTTCCTACATATATATATGTGTTCTTTTTCATATACTTTTATTGTTGATTTGGGTTGTTTCACTTGTTTGTTTCTATTGAGACTGGGAGAAGGAAACAAAGAGAGGAAGGAGAAAAATGATCATGAGTGCAAACTACATGAGGGAAGCCATTGATAAAAGAAATTGGGGCACAGGCTTTGCTATATTTCCTCTAGCATAAGGCATACGATGTTCCCAATCCAATTTTAATGCTTACATTTCAATCGCAAAATCGATTGTATTCCTGCCTTTTTCAATTTTAGGGTTCACACTAGGAGGAAATTGGTGAAAGAAGAAGAAGGATGGGATGGGGCAGGGAGAAGATTGTTTGTTCTAAATTCGAAAGTTTATTGGGAGGGGCATGGACATATTGGGAGAGAGAAACACCGATATTTATATTTAGTTAGTTGTCGGTTATTCATTATCATTTAATCGGTTACACTGTAAGCCATTTCGGTCTAATGATAACTGCACCGATAATTTATAATAATCAACGGTATAACCGTCAACTGTTCATTATCTGTATGTTTATCGGTGTCAGCTAACCAACTAACCGAATATCACTCCTACTTGAGAGACAATTAGATATCAACTTCAGCTAGGGTTGTCCTCGGATTTGGTCGGATCAAATCAACCAAATATATATTTAGATGGATGCAAACCAAATGGAATATAATAGCCAGACTCGGCTAGAAAAATATAGATTGTCATGTCAATTTGATGACCGAATAGAGAGGACACAAAACTTGCCAAGTAATTTAAAGCCAATCACCCAATTTAATGATATCCTCAAAATAAGTCACTAAACCAAGTACCAAGCTGTTTTGCCAAAACCAATGGCTGGTAAGTGATTAGTGATTACTAATATCACAAATAAAGAAAAACAGGGACTGCATAATAAAATTCGTAAACAATTGTATAGAAAATTGTGCAAAATGAAAGGGAAATTTTTTTGGCGATAGGATGTCAGTCAGCAACATCGTACAATCGACGTGCGTAGCGTAGGGAGCGAATAGCAGGTCGAGTTTGCGATGAGGCCCGCCGGACTGTACGCTTCGCCCACTCCACCCACGTGACGCCACCCCACACCACATCAACTATGCATCCACTAACAATGAAAATTCATGTTTTTCTTTTTAGCCAGAATTAAAATTCGTGTTTACTCGCCCACTAATTCATATCCCAAATTGCAAAGAGGCTTACAACAACGGAGATAAATATTTAGCATCGTAATCCAATAAGTAGGGAGAAGATTAAGGCGATTTTTTTAGCGCTCCAACCAGTATTCTTGTTGGATCCAGTCTGAAAAATGGAGGATACAGACAAAAGATGAGAGGATGTCATAGCATCTCCACGGCATGGAATCTGAAGAGGAGCTTTAAAGACCCACTATAGATTTGCAATCAGCTGCGGATCCAGGACATGGTAGAGTACCGGGCCGCATTTGAATAGAATACTGGACATAGTATAGTTTTCATTACACTGTCAATTGTACATAACGGTCTTTTAATTAATCGAATTCATCAAATAATAGAGTCTTCATCCATATATACCAATAACATATTCTATCTCAAAGAAAATAGTTAAGCAAATAGCGAGAAATTCAAGACTGATTTTGTTGCGTAAATAAGTTTTCACATGTTTCAATGCCGATGATAAACTATGGAGCAAGTTTGGAAATATTTTCTTCGACAAAAGATCGAAAAGAAGTTTTAGGATCTAGTGCACAACTCAACCGAAGCAATTTAAATGATGACTCAACAAATTTGTACATATTTTCTTAATGAAAATTTTGGAAAGAAAATTAGTCTGACGAATAGCGGAGTTATCCGTTTCTGGTTTGTTTCCTCGTTCTAATTTTGTATTTAGGGATTGATGAATATTTTGTGGTTCTGACACATGAGGTTTAGTTTATAGGGTTTTCATCTAGACCATTTTTCAAGTTACACAAAATCTTATTATCAAATAACATTGGACTGCATTTAAATATCACTGCGCAGAACATCTAAAATCAAAAAATTCATACGCCCTAGATCCGCCACTGTTTTCAATCAAAAACAATCTTTATCAGAATATGATATGTAATTAGTGGTCGCTAAACATGCCTCCAGAAGTGTCCAAGCCTCAACTCGTTCGGGGTTGAACAAATGACTCTACCTACCTGATCGTCACAAATTTATTCATTGGTTTAGTAATAACTACCCAAAAGCCACCTCCTGTGAGTCTGATAAAAATATCCATCACAGTGAATCTTCCTAGGGAGATTTCTTGGCGGTGAAATAAGATGTGATGGTCCAATGCTGGACATATTCACTGGTGAAGGAGTAGGATGAGTGGGAACACGTGTTTGTTGCATCATGAACACATTGATGGAAATGACTATCGATGATAAAGCAAATCCTCTGAAAATTAACTCATTGCAGGCCCTCCAAGTATCCCAGACGTAGAAAGCGTTTTGTCTCATCATCTTCCTGCTGGAGCCTGGAAGTGGGTAATCTCCTTCTAGAATGTGACAGTTTTCAAAGGGGGAAAATACCTAGCCATGAACTTTTTCACCAGGTCATTCTAGAAGGTGATGGACAATGGCGCTTGACCATCTAGCCCGTCTGCCTTTTTCACTAAAAGAAAATGGTAACAGTCTTAGCTTGAGTGTCTCCTGGGGTACACCGTTCACCTTGATCTCATCCATTAGCTCATAGAAGCGATTGAGCTACTCTCTCAATTCCTTATTGTTCAACCCACTTAATTGAATGTTATTCTCGATCATATGGATTATAATGGTCTTAATCTCAAAATTATTAGTGGTGATCGGTAGGTGCCGGATGTTGGACTTAATATCTTCGACTTAAGGGCAAAATACTACCCCATGGTCCTTTCAGCTCCGACATGAGGCTGTAATTGCTCACTATTTCCCACGTCTTCGGCCATAATGACGGGTTCTACGTTAGACGAGTTTGTGTAGGGCTCTCCTCGAAAGTGAGCTCGTCCCACTACCCTCTCCTTCTTCAAGTTATGGAGAGTCCGATTGAAGTTGCTATCCAATGCCAGTAAGTCGCCCGATTGGCTTCGGGTTATGAACTAGACCTGCCACAAGCTAATAAAAAACAAACCTTCAAAGCAAAGTTGGGATATGATCAAAATGAAGAAAAGAATAGCTAAAGTAACATATGTTCACTTTTCCTAATAATCTAGTCATTCCCCGACAATGTCGCCAAAAACTTCACTCGCTTTTATTAACACTCTAATCAGTGGCAAAGTGCAACCACATATCAGAGAGTAGTATAGTGGAATTAAGTTTTAATGTCAACCCGAAGTCTCTAGATGTACTATTACTAAGTGAAATGTCTATGATTTAGCAACATGTTTGTAGTGAAGTTTACTAAAACTAAGCAAACAAAGTAAATACAATTGGTAGGATTTTAGTTATAAGAAAAACACCGAGGTATGTGTCCCCCTAGCATGTAGTTAGGTCAAAGTTGCAATTCACTTAGTTCGGTTCACTAATAGTGATACTGCGCAAGTAGCTTGGAATCTCGACTAAAGCACACCACGCCCTCTTAAACAAATTACCTGGCGGGGGACTATCCTCAACCGAACTAAGTTGCCAAGGAAATTGCATATAGACCTCCTCTACTGAAATAGATTCTAGTAATGTGTTGTGAATCAATTCATTATTCGTGCAATTGATACACAACTTCCAATTGAAGTTGCTCTGTTAACATAATCATATTTTATCTCTCCTAGGTTAAATTAGTAATCAAAAGAATGTGATCAAGAGTCAAGACTCAATCGGTTCTAAGTAATTCCTCAACTGAATATAACATATCAATTCAACAATCCAAGGGTTCATACAATCATTATCCTAACATCTAGAAACTAGGGTTCTTCATACCCAAGTGAAGAAGGAGATTTCTCCATGGAGAGAGAGGAGAACACAAAGGTTGTAGTAGAAATCATAATGCAGCAGTGATAATCTGCTCCGGGTTGTCGTCTCTCACTCCAAATGGGTAGATCTATACTCCAATGTTTGAATGAATGCTCAAATCAGCTCCCAGGGTGGACTTTCTATTGCTTTCTCTCTCTAAAAGTCTCTCAGCTCATTTTTAGATAGCAAAATTAAATCCTTAGCCAAAAACTCACAATTCCAAGTTATACCTGAAGGTTGAAGTTGGAAATTCCCCAAGTAGGTACACGATTGTGTAACTCAACTTTCAGACTGTGTAACTGCAAAATGCACAGTTTAACTTGAACTTCTCCAAGAGAAATCCATGGGCTCTCCTTAGAATTCCACAGTCGTGTAACTCAGATGTCTAGACCATTGAACCTTTTGTAATTTCCTAAGGTTGATGCTTTGAGAAGCACAATCGTATAACTCCATCCTTCGTCGTATAATTCCGTCCTTCTTCCTCCGAGGTCCCATATGTCTTCCAATTGTTCGGAAACTTGCTCCTAAGCCTTCAATCACAACCTAGGACCGGAAATATCACTAACAAACACAACCTAGTGTAAAATAGGCCTTTAATGCAAGAACCCAAGCTCAAATGACAAAAAATGAGAAAATAAACATGTTTA